AAATTGTTACAGTACTGGTAATTGAAGCGGAGCTATCCGTATTCACTTACTGCCTCAATATAAAGGAATATAGTCATTGATAGGAATGATAGTAAGAGTCCAAGTGTTAGAATACAGTACTGCAAGTAGGAATAATGTCAGTGATACTACATACATTGTTGTAATGAATCTACTCACTGCAGCATAAGTATATATGTGGTGCACTAGAATGCTACCAATTCCAAAGCTAGCTGTAGATATAGAAGAAAATAAGAATTTAATCATAATCTATACCAATTAATATCTGAAGTATTGAGATGCATAGGACTCCAATCAAATAATGCTTCACCTATAGCAATAGAAGAATTAAGATCTTAACACATTTTAAACTCTAGTAAGACACTATTGCAAATGTTCATGTTTAGAGTGACACATGATGCATATGATGGACTTTTAAAGTAAATGGTGTTAGCATTATGCTAATATGTTAATTGCAGTGTTATAATAAGTTTATTAATAAGTTAACACAATCATAATTACTAAAAACATAAATCTTACTTACTTTAACTGCATCTGATTCCAATACATTAGTAGCAATAACAAGTATTGCTATACAGAATCCACTGGAGCCACAAGCAAGAATCTAACAATTACAACAACAGGATAAAGGAAGGAATGACAATCATTAATACCAGCTCAAGTATTTTGATGCATATCATGAAGGATTTTTGCCATGATATCTTTCTACTGTAATCTTCATTGAGCTCAGTAAGCGCCTATGCAAATACAGTACAATACAGTATTTATGGTATGATTAGCAAGCACAGGAATACTGGGTTTACTTGTCTTAGGTCTTCACTCATCATCGAGCCACACCTACCAACACAAACAACGCCCACTCACAATAGATAAATATCACGTGACTTAAAGTGGGAGTTGCCTTCAGCTAGCTATGTACTGTACGTATACTGTATGTACTGTACATGCATGCAGCATGCGGGCCTCAGGCGAGGGGAGTGAGCTGAGGGCCTTGCTGAGGGCAGGCCCCCATGGCTTGGTTGTTTGGTTCTAAAAGTAAGTCCATTCCAGTATCATGTACTTTTAATCATTGATATATAGACCAAGTTCAACTGAATAAAAGAGCTGGTCACTGCACTGTATCAGTAGGTGATTCACTGTATATGTGGGCTGGTGATCAGTATAGTTTACCTAAAGTACATGATAGTGAAGAGAAGAGAAAGGTCACTAGTAATATACAGCACTTTACTCCTTCAACTGGTCAATGGATCACTAGAGCTACTACTGGTACTCCTCCATTAGGAGTGAGAACATACTGCTGTACTGCAATAAATGATCAATTGTATTATTTCGGGGGCTATTGTGGCCATCGTGGCTGCTATCACAACAGTATTACACAACTGGATACCTTTAGTCTTCAATGGAGAGAATTAGAACCAACTGATGCAACTAGACCAGTTATGATGAGAGGTTATGGTGGAATGATATCATTTGAACATGATGGAGTACAC